CTCACCCTTTCTTTATCTCGTGCGGTTTCTTCCTCTCTCATGTTGTATGTCAGACATTCATAAGAAAATGGTTCAGGAATCAACGAAATTGATTTTTTTTTCCTTCTCTCGTGAAGATATGCCCATAAGGAGAGAGAGACAGCAGGATCATAAGAGCAGTAATATTTGCATTTGCATCAAAGAGGGAAGATTTCCTGAGATCATGGAAAGAGAAAATTAAGAGATTGATATTAGAAAAATGAAAACAGTAGTCTTAAAAATGGAACCTTTTTTCTTGAATAATCTGGGGGAAATTTATAAATTTAGGATAGATCTTTTGTGTGCAGATTATTTAGCAAAGCTCTCCCATAACATGAAGAATCCTTTTTAAATCCTTGATCAACCTTTATCTCCTGAATAAAAAGGTTGACGCTGATAAAGGCTTTTTAGTTTTTGTTTGTTTGTTGCCTTGTTTTTTTCTTGATTGTTAAAGCAATTCAGTATTTTACTAAACAAAAACTTAAAAATGACGATATTTAGTTCAACAAGAAAGAACAAACGAATCCTATTGGAAGATGTTAGTCGAAAGGAAAACATGAGAGCAAGAATTAAATTAGGTTCCAAGTAAAAGTCAGTGGATATTTTTGTGCAAAAAATTGAATCCTAATTAATGAGATGATAAAGACAGGTCCGCAACTAATTGCAGGTTGAAGACTACTTCATGCAATCCAAAATATAAGTTGCTTTTAAAACATCTTATCCGAATAAAAAAAAGAAAATGATATAAGATGGGTCTATCATAGTATCATACACATAGATGGTATTTCTTTACTAAAATGATATATCACTGACATCAGACGTCCATCAAGTTGAACAAAAAAATTGAACATGTCTTTGATCTCTCTCTCTCTCTCTAATGTTAGTTGTAGTAGTTCCATTTCAATGCCTTTGAACAAATTATTATTATTATTAAAAAAATAACAATACAGGGCAGATATTTTTGTTTACTCATTAAAAATGAATAATTATTTTCAGACGTATTAACATTCAGTATGGACCTAACTCAGCATTCTCTTTTTCATGTAAAATCAAATGACATAGCGTGAAGCCACTGTTGAAGATTTTGAGAAAGTCATTATTGTCATTAAATGGCAATAATATAGCGTGAAGATTTTTAAAATGGGGTTTCCAAATTTGACTATTATTACTTGGGTTAATATCTGAGTGATACGAAGGACGGGAGGTAATATTACTCCTCTTATGGGTTTGTTGAAATTTGGTTGGCAAAGAGCAATATATAGCTGCGAGAATCATAAAAGCAAAATCCCAGAGAATCACCAGAACGAAAACAAAACCTCTAAACCTCTGAGAGAGAAGAAAAATGATAAGGTAAAGGATATTAAAGATTTGGCCTTTGCAATGAACAAAAAGAAATAAAAAAATACTTTAATTTTCTTTTTTAGCAAATTAAAAGTATCTAAAAATGTAAAGCTTGCATTTTTTTTTCCTATCTAGATTTTACTTCCCCCCATGCGATTAAAAATTAACAGTTGTATACTACAGTTGATAAAGATCATAATCTATACTACCTCCAGCCCTAATTACAAGACCTAGTTTGTAGTCTACAATGCTAAAAAATAATTAAAGAAACCTCTGCACATATCAAGGTAAAAATGCCCCCAATGACCAATTTATAGCTTAAGCAAAACATAAAAATACAGAAACAAGTCATCAAATTTAAAGAAAAGGATAACGATAAAAAATAGCATAAAGTATTTGACATTAAATTGCATGTATGAAAAAATGGAGTTGCCCTTAGAGCACATTCCACATCACAAATATATAATGAGACAGTGAATTCTATTAACATTTTTCCTGTAAAAAGGCTCCTCTAGATCGTTTTGTTGATGTAAGTAAAGAGGAAAAAAAGGAAATTTCCCAGCATTCGTATCAATCCCGTTATACATACGCGCGCGCGCGCACAGATATATATATATATATATATTTAATAGAAACGGTGTATCTATTAATCACAAAACAGTAAAGTCAAGATTAACTATTCATCAACATCGATATTATATTAAGAAAGATGGAATGTGATCAAAGATGCAATAATTACTTTCCATTCAATGTGATAGCTTGGCAAGATAATCAATAATAGAAATATTCTATGAGTGTAGTTAACCATTACCTGTTAATCCCTACAAAAAAAAAAATAGATTTTATTAACAAGATCTCTAAAAGGCTGTGTAGGATCACAGCCCCTATGCAAACTAGCTACCCTTATTTCTTAAAAGATAAAAGCGTATGCAGCACCTCAACTATTTTTTCAGATACATCCAATATCCTAAAATATTATATGATACATTCATTATTCGGAAATATTTTTTAGGTGTGTCTAGCATTTTAATTTTTTTTTTTTTTGCTTTGATGCTGGATGCATGAAAACTTTAAGTACTAAATGCATCTAAGAAAAATATTTTAGGATGCTAGATGCACCAAAAAATAATTTAAAATGCTGGACATATTTAAAAAAATATTTTAAAATACTAAATATATCACAAAATATTTTAAGATGTATCTGAAAAATATTTCGTTGATGTACTTCAACTCATTTCTTAAAACACGTAAATTTGGATAACAGTGAGGCAGAGAGAGATGAAGATAAGAAACGTGCCTCATTTTGACAAGTGAATTCCATTTTCTTGACAATACGATAGACATGAAATTTACTTGCCTCATTTGATTTTTTGATTGAAAATGGCAAAAAGGAAAAGCAAATACTTCTCATAATTCTTTTCTGTGAAAAAGCAAACTTGCATGTAGAATTTTTATAATTTTTTTAATGGGGTTGTTTTTTTGGGGGTGGGGGACAATTCTCTTTCATATCTACGCTATTGTCAAGAAAATGGAATTCACTTGTCCCTTGTCATCTAATGCCCCTAGGAATGCTTACAGAGTCTTCATGTGATGTCTCAGGGAACAGTTCAGAAGGTCACAAAGGGAAAATCATAATTCTCATTCAAAGTATATAAATAATTGAGTGAATTAACTTAACCTTGCGTTCTCAAAATATATGTTTCTGTCTTTTATTTGTCATTTTTCAATCATATAATTCACAAGTTTATAATATATTTTTTATTAAAATAAATGTTGCATAATTATAACTGAGTCATTTTAAGACAATTCATACTTTTCATCTACCCAGAAACATGTTCTAATTAATGTATATGTATATAGTACTATTCTACGTAATTATAAGACAGGATCCTGTCCTATCTTCTTCCTACTATAAAGAGTAAATGTTCTAATTAATGTATATGTACATAGTACTATTCTTTTTTTCTAAACGCTATTCTTCTTTACTCGTTAGCAGTCATCCCTTTTTATGGCTTATGATATTGATTTCTCATTTCTCATTTAGTTTTTTTTAGGTGAAAAGGGAATCGAAAGAAAATTGAGCCTAATTTGCTCTTGAACTGTAAGATTTTTTTTGTCTATTGGATCTAATGACTACTTTTATATAAAGGTCTAACTTTTACTCTTGTTCCTTCTAAAATCATTCTTCTGTATGGTAGATCCAACCATCATAATGTGGTTTCGTCATGGCCCCATAGTAATTCCTTCTTTTAGTCAATTATCCTTGTTTATGCTACATGATACACGATTGACGGTCATGAGTGCTTTTCTTGAGATGTAGTTTTCAGTCCGTACTTATTAAGTTATCCATCTTATGATACTAACAAGTTTTATGGAACAAGTTAGTTTCAGCGCTTATCATAGTGATAAGCATCATGATACTCTTCGAATCTCAACTATTCAAATTTAATATAGATGATTGAGATTTAATATTTAATATTTTTGTTCTTTACAAAATACTTTTAACAGGTACATAGTTCAACATAAATGTAATATCTTAACTATAAATTTTTTTAAAATAAATTTTTTATTTAAAAATTACTAGTTGAAAACTTCAAATCTAAATTATAGAAACTACGACAAGCACTAAAATTAGTTCCCAAGTGCCATAATATCCAAAGCCGTAATGTGGGCATTGTAGTATCTTAACTTTTCGTTTCAAAAGACGGGGGTTTGGGCAGTTCAGTTGGTAGGTGTTGTATTGTTGCATTGTGGTATATATCTCGTTTTTCAATATTTTAATTTGATACATTATAATCCATTTAGTCACCTTTGCGTTTTTGACGTTGCCCATCTTATTAACTTTATCATCAAATTTCTCTATTAGAAACCTCAAACCTGGTGCACATGCCTGTCTCACTCTAATCACCGTTCACAGCGTTCTCCCGACTTGGATATGAATTTCTTGAGGGCTTCAACCTCACGTGCCTCTATAATGTATCACGTAAACTCATTTTCCCTTCTCATGCTATGTATCCTCATGGTAGCAGTGGAATTGAGTTGGAGAGTTTTACATTCTGGGGGCAATTTTTCGTTGTAAAAGCTTGGTAATCTATTAATCTAATTTGTTTGTGTCTTTTTCACACTTTTAATTATATTTCTGCTCTTTTGTTTCATACCCCCAAAATTTTTGAAATCATTAGACTCAAATATTCTTAATTACATGTATAGGCTGATGACACAGAGAAGTAGAAAAAGATAGAGAGAGTGCAACATCCAGCTTAATGTATTCTTCTTCAATAACTTCTCAGAGGATTTGTATGCTTTCGTTTGGATGATTTGTTGGGATTTTACATTTATGATTCTTGCAGCTTTAATTCACATGCTCTCACCCTAGAGATGCTAATCAGATTTCAGCAAACCCTTCCAAGAGTACTTGTATTACTCTCTTCTCTACCTTGCTTTGCTTCTTTTACCATTCTGCCTTCAAAATTCAACAAAACTCCACGTGTTATATATTGGGTTCTAAACTGATTCTTGGGAAGCTAATATCTTTATCTTTATTTATGATAAGATGAAAATGGTTTCTGTATGACATTTTGATGGGTTTGCTGATAACACCATATCGAGCAAAAGTAATTATCAGTTTGAATTTGAACCAGAATCTCCCATTAGCAAGAAATTAGCATCTTCTTCTTCAGACCTTCGATGCAATTATTACTGTTCTTATGATCCTGTTGGCCCCTCCGCTTCTTCTTGGCATCTCAGAAAATCAAAAGCACGTAGAGTTTTCCTGATTCCTGGATGATTTTTTGATGAATCTGTGACATGAAACATGAGAGAGAAAGAAACAGCAAGAGATATGAAGAAAGGGCGAGACGCGTCTAGTACAACACAAGAGGATTACTCTTTTTCTTTCCTCCCTGGTTTTCTTCAATTTTTCCTCGACAATGAGACGTGAACGGTAAGTATGACAGCTACGGTATTTACATGGTTGAACGAATATCAAAACTTACCTTCAATAATTGCAATCTAAGAGGATGTCTTCATTAAAAGGCTAAAATCATTATGTGGGAAATTATAGTAATATATAATCGCTTCAAATTTAAACACAATACGTTAAATAATCAAATTCAACATATAAGCTCTGCCCTTTTACTTTCTCAGCTTTCTTCTTCTGCTTACTTTCTGAAACTTGAGATATTGGGTATTCATTGCTTCCTCTTGAAGTCATATATACATACGTATGTACGTACGTACGTACACGTATTCATCTCATGGAGTGATATATATATGTGTATGTAACATCCACATTAAAAATCTGCAGAAAAGGTTTATCAAAGGAAGGTCATGAAAATTCAGTATGGACCTCTTTTCTATATAAAATCAGATGACATAGCGTGAAGCCACTGTTGAAGATTCTGAGGAAGCTACTATTGTCATTATACGGCAATAACATAGCCTCAAGGAAACAAAAGTAATGCATAAGTTTTAGTAGCCTTGGCATGCTCACCCAGATGCTCTCTTTCATATGTTACACAAAAACTGCTCAAATAATTATTGTCTTCTCCGCTGCACATTTAAATATTTGAAATCATGATGCCCCCTTTTCAATTATGTAATTCAAAATTTTTAATATGATTTTTATTAAGATAAATGTTGCATAACTATGACTGAGTGATGTTAAAAACTTGGCATTGCAAATTCTTCTTCCACCAGCAGGGAAATTACCGGAGGTTTAACTCATGATTCATATATTTTCATGTTTATGCTTGTACGTACTTAATGACATTTCAGATGCTGTCACTGTATAACATGCATAATTTATTATAATGTATGTGTACAAAGTATTATTCTACCTTAAGAAAAATATAACATTGAAAAGCTATCTAAATTGACACTTGTACTAAATTAATGAATCTGTGACATCTTTTTTTTTTTTATAATTGTAATTGTAAATCATTGAAAGGGAAAAAAAAAAGTCACAGCAAACATAGAAATTAAATATGTACTATAAAGCTTAAATAATGATCAAAACAAATCAAGCAAAAGCATTCTGCAGGTTAAAAACTTTATCATCATCACCAACCCAGATCTCTCCCAACAATTCTCTTACTTATTTATCATCTTCACCAACACTTCACCAACCCACGTTTCTCCTTTTTAGGATGACTTCAAAACTCCAACTACAATTCCAATTCTCTCCCTCTCTTGCATATTCTCGTGAGCACTGTTATTGAAGCTGTCTATAATATCTTAACAATATAGTACTTTCTTGCCAGAATAATAGTACTACTTGAAAGTTTGAAAAGATAATAATAGTACTACAATTTTTTTTTTAATATCTTATATCCATATTGATATATTGATTGCATTAGACCTGACCAAGTTGTAGCAGAAGATATTTCATTTTCAAGAGGCACAGTTTCTCAAAGAATGAAGTAATTTGATCTCAACACACACAGACACACACACATATATAAATATATATATATTTGAGTAATATTGTATTGACTTCAGCATCAACATGGGTAGAATATTGTAATTCACTCTGTTATATATATATATATATATCTCTCTCTCTCTCTCTCTCTCTCTCTCTCAGTGTGGATGGGTCCTCCATTGGTTACATTTAAACGTTTAGTTGCAGGCTATTTTACTATGATAAGGGGGTTGGAAAGAAGCAGAACAAAGTTTATTTTCTTTCATAAATTGCTATATAATGGTGTATAATATGCTGTATTCTTTTGTCTATTCTTGGGAATGGTAAAATAGGTTTTGAAAAGTCATTGAGATTTTGAGGTTTGAATAATAAATAGATAGATAATAAGACAAGCTGGCAACTGTGTCCACATTTTGGCAGGGTCTTTTCATGATTCAATAAAAATAGATATAAAGGATGGATTAACTTTTTGTGAGCCTTCTGGATGCAAACATAAGAATAGAAACTTGCAGTTTAGTGCTTTTTCACTTACAAATTAAAGGATGCATGCCCTACTTTGAAGGATCTGAATTGGCACCAATAAAATAAAGGATGCGTCGTTTTATGCTTTGGCAGAAGCATGCGCGCGTGGCTCTTCTTGAATAATTACGTGAGTGAATGGAAAAAGCCGTTGTCGACTATATTGATAATACCGGAAATTGGAGGAGCACCGAGTTCTCCAACAAGCTTCCTTCAAACATAGTCACCCAAGTGCTGAATTCTACACCCCCTTCGGTCGACGCAGAACCTGATAAATGTTACTGGAGCCTCACGAACAGGAGGGAATTCACTGTAAGCTCAGCCTATAGGCTCCTTAAAGAAGAAGCTTGGTCTGAAGAAAGTAACATATGGGAGTCCGTCTGGAAGTGGCCTGGTCCACAGAGGATAAGGACTTTTCTCTGGCTTGCTCTCAACGATAAGCTCCTCACTAACTGCGAAAGAATGCGGCGGCATATGGCTTCGAGCAACTCTTGTGAAATATGTGATAACGGACCTGAAGATCTGAATCATGTCCTTAGACTTTGCAACGTCGCCCAATCCTGCTGGAAGATGCTCATCCCACGCTCGGAACTTCATAGCTTTAGTACCCAACCACTAAACGATTGGCTCATAACAAACCTCAGGAAAGACGAGCGCAAACCTTCCTGGAACATTTTGTTTGGCATCTTATGCTGGAAATTTTGGAAGGCAAGGAATATTGTGGTCCTTGCAAATGGAAGTGTCCGATGTCATAGCATTCTTAATGAAGCTATTGCGTTAACTCAGCATATAAACCATGCTAAAGAGTCTCTTAGGTGTTTAAGTTAGGCAGCTTGATTGGCTCTTTTGCCTCCTTTGTAATCCTTGTTTCTTGTACCTTTTTCCTGAGTAATAAATTTTCCTTTCTACTCAAAAAAAAATTACGTGAGTGAAGCGGGAATCTGGTAGTAAGGTTTACGTACGTAAGGCCTTGCTCATTTATATTTTAATCACATATCTTTCAGGTCCTAAGCTTTCGTTTTGTAATCAAAAATATTTTTATCACATTATGGTCACTTGGAAAAAAGCCCATTGTGCTATGTACGGATAATAATATCATGATTTTTCCCCCAATTAATGAATTCTTTCGTGGAGTGCGAACGTTACATTTAAAGAAGTGTATAATTTACTAATCATATTGTGTGTAATCATTAATTTGTGCAGGTTCCATGTAGTTTTTGGAAATTGGATTCATTAGATAAGATTACAAATGCGCCGATCTGGGCCCCAGCTCAAGTCTTTGATTGTGGTGAATATAATGAAGAAGAGGGTGGAAGTTTTATTCCCTCATAGAAAGAAAGTATATATGGATTCGTAGAGTAATGTTGACCGGTAGCTTTAATTTGGGGTCCATTCACTTATGAACTTGAAGAAACTTCCATTTGTATAGAGCTGCGTATAAGGGAAAACATTGTTTCGTTTCCATTTCAAATGCACTTTTGCCAAATCTCATAAGTTGCCCCCAGAAGTCTACGCAAAACGCACTTGGATGCGGTTTGGATGGAGGAAAAATTGAAAATATATATGCACAAATTACATAACTTTAACGAATATGATTTCATCTCTGTGAAACGGTTTTATGGAGTGTTAGATTATATATCAGTTTATAAGTTAGATAAATTAGTCTACTCATAAAAAATGATTAAAAAATAATAAGTCAATAATTATTATTTATTCCTATGTTTCGAAAAAAATCTATTTATTTACCATTGATAATGTGATATTAATATAAAAATAAATTATATTTAACTACAAATATATCATATGCTTTTAAATTACAAACAGACATACGTATTATAACTACAATGATATATGATGTTTAGGGGATAAAGTGAAATGCAAAATTTGAGAGTAATGGAAAGACATTCATTTTGACATATCATTAACACTGTAATACATAATAATGAATAATTATGAGCATCCGTAGATATAACTTGTGATATACTCTGGTCCTTAATATAAAACCTCGTTTGACTTTTATTTTGGTCCTAAATATAATATCCCAATCCACTTAGCCTCTCATATGTATGTTTTTTTCTTCTTCTGAAAATAGTCCCTCTAGTAATGATTGTTCTAACCAATAAACTTGATTAGCAAGGATATTATCAGAAAGACAACACACACTTATTACAAATAACTAATTTAACTTATTTATTTAATCTCCTCAAATTAATCAACTAGCTTTATAATTAGTATTGGAGGTAGTATATAATGTTTACACTGCAAAATGGTTTGTCTAACTAATCAAAATCAAAATCAAAATCAACAACAAATATTAATAATGAATTTTTTTTTCATAAAATTAAATCATTTCTCATCCTCTCAAATCAAATACGACATAAATATATAATTTTCTTTTTCTCTCAAATGTCACAATAAAACTAATTTATTTCCAATATATATTGAGATGAAAATAAATTATATTCACACTTCATATATTTAAATTTGCAAATAAATTATTGGCACAATGTATTAATATTTCAAAATGACCAATAATTAGTTTTTGGTCTATTTGGTTTCATATCACACACATCACAATATCAAATACTTATAATAATTTGTCCTAAATTAATCACAATAAATTTAAACAGTAAAAAAATCAAACAGCATACAGCCTTCTAAGCTTATGGTTATATGTTTTGGCTTGACTGTAATTTTGAGCATTTTTCTCCACAATTCATTGTCTTGGGTATTATAATAACTTTTGATATCTCTCATAATATCTCACGATTTTTTTTGGCTTCATAAACAATTTTGACATTTACTTTCAATGATTTTGGTATATATTTGTCTATATGACTTGTGGT